CCCCCCACACACACACACGCGCGCGCGCACGCGCACCTTCTCCAGCTCCTCCATTTTTCGCGCGAAGCTCTCCGTGTTGAAGGTCAGCAGGGAGGGGTTGCGGCGGACGGCCTTCGCCACCCCCGCCTCGTCGGTCCCCAGGAGATCGGCCAGCGCGGTCAGCTTGTCCTGCATGCTCTGGCGGGGTGGCACATGGGCGCATGCGTGCGTGGGGTGGAGTAAGGGTGCGGTGTGCTTGCTCCTGTCGCCTTTCGTGGTTTGGGGAGCACCTCCTGACCTGGAGCCAGGGTGGTCCCGTGACCAAAGGGCATCCACTCACTGCTGGCAAAGTGTGATGGGATGTAATGAGACATCAAGCAATGCGATGCTATGTGGTGTACTGTTGCCGTGTGCATGTGCATGCATGCCGTGTGAGTGGCAGGGGTGGAAATAGGTGGAGCAGGAACGGGTACTGTATGTTCTAATAGATCAAGGGGCAGACGGAGTGAGTCAAGGGGGGAGAGATGGAGGTGGGGGGAGAGTATGTGTGTGTATGTGCATGCGTGTGTGTGTGTGTGTGTGTGTGTGTGTGAGAGAGAGAGAGAGAGGGGCAGAGAGAGGGGGTATCTGTGCGTGTGTGCGTTTGCGTTTGTGTGGCCCGCGCTGGCACTGTGTGACAAGATGCATACGTCGCTCCTGAAGCACAACCGCAGGTGGCCTGCAAAACCGAGCGTGTGTGGGCGTGCCCGACAACACACGCGCAACTCGAGCATGCCCATGCACCTGCACCACCAGCCCCGCCTACTGGCCCCTGGCGCCGCCGCCCAGCCCCCAGGCAAGAGCAGGCCCCGCGGCGCTGCACAGGGCGCGGCTCACCCCCAGCGTGTTGCCCAGGAGGGTGGGCTGCTGCCGCACGATCTTCAGAAGCGCGTGCTTGCTGAGCTGCAGCAGCTCCTGCAATTTTCAATGTGTAGCACGGCGGCGGCGGGGGCCGGCTGTGGTCAACATCAAGGCAGCAGGACGCAGGCACCCCTGGCGAGCCGCGGCGCGGCCCGCGGCCGACAAGCCTGGTCAGCCGGCGCCCGGCGCCCGGCGGCCAGGACCCAGCGCCGCCTGCGGATAGGAGCCGAGGCGGCGCGCGGGTGTTCGCGGCCCCCGGGCCGCGCGCACCTGCAGCTCTCTCGGCTTGTTTGTGAGGCTCATCCTGCTGAGAGTGAGCACTGCAGGGTAGCCCCGCACGACGGCCAGGCACTGCACGAACGCGCGCGCGTGCGAAAGCCGCGAGGCCGGTCAGACCATGGAAGACTCAGAAGGGGCTGGGGGAGCGGGAGCCGGCGAGGGCGCGCGCGCCGCGTCCTCGCCGGCGGCCAGCGCGCGTCCCCGCCGCCGCGCACCCACGCGCGCGGGGCGCGCACCTGCTCGTCGGTGGCGCCGAGGGACCACTTGAGAAGGGCATAGTTGCGCACCAGGGTCTCCGGCTGCGTCGACAGCAGCCGCGGCTGGCGCGACAGCAGCTTCTGCAGAGCAACCGTGACGTCCGCGGCGGCGTCTTGGACGTCCCCGCCCCCGGGGCCGCCGCCGCCGCCGCCGCCGCCGCTGGCAGCCCCGGCCCCGGCGACGTCGGCGCCGTTGGCGCGCACGATGCCGTTGATGAAGAGGGCGGCGTTGGTGCTGAGGCGCTCGGCCTTGGAGGCGAGCAGGTGCGGGCTGCGGCAGATTGCGGCGTGCGTCTGGTCCCTGCGTTGGGCAGGTGTGCGGCCGTGCGGCCGAGGCCGTCCTGAGGAGGGTCGCTAGAGGCCCGCCTGAATCTGGGGTGCCCTCTGCTCGCAGCATTCGTGCATGCATGCATCCACATACGCACGAAAACACGCGCACGCACTTGTACGCACGAACACACACACACACACCACCCTTCAAACTAGCCATGCTGCAAATCAGGCCAATCAGCACTTCCGGGCCGCTGCCCCTGCTGGGAGGCTGTTCGCCGTGCGTGCGGCCGGGCGGCACCTGCCAAGCAGCTGCACCAGGGACTCGAGCTTGTGCCGCAGGTTTGACGGGGAATTCAATATGTGGGACGACCGGCAGGCGATGGCGCGGGCGGGCGGGGTCTTGCCGAGGACGTCGTGGTAAACCCTGTGACGTGCGCGCGCAAGCACGTGTGTGTGTGTGTGTGTGTGTGTGTGCGCGCGCGTGCGCGTGCGCGCGTCGCGCGCGTGCATGCTTGCGTGCCAAGACGTGTGCACATGGTTTTGCATAGCATGTGCGTGGCTGAGGCGTGAGCGGGGCATCCAGGAGGAGCAGCGAAAGCAACAGCAACTCTGCGCGTCGCGGCGCCTCCCCGCCCCAGCACCCACATCAGCAGCTCCCCCACGCGTTTCGCGACGGTGTGCGGCTTCTGCAGGGAGTTGAAGAGGCGCAGCGAGTTGGCAACAAAGTGGGCGGCGCCGTCGGGCGGCAGCACGGCCTCCAGCTCGGTGCGCAGCGCCACCAGCTGACGCTCCAGCTCCTCGGCGGGCCGCTGCGCACGGGGGCCGGTGGCGGCGAGGAGCGTGTTTGAGCGCGCGGCGCGGCGATGGGGCGGCGGCGTGAGGGGCGACGGTGCCGCGGGATTCTGGTGGCGCGATCAAAAGGGTTGCTGCTGGTTGTACTGGCGTGCGATGCGCTGCCTTCTGAGGCGTCCACCGTCCACTCACTAGTGCAACTCGCGGCTCGGCGCATGCCACCCCAACCGGTCGTGCACGCGCGCTGCGGCGCCACGGAGCAGTGCTGCGGCACGCACGCCTGGTGGTGAGAAAAGCTCAGGGGGCGCGCGTCGGGGCCGGTTGCGCGCTGCACACCAGCAGGAGGCGCGGGTCGGATCCGACCATGAAGCCGATCTGTGGGAAGCCCGCCTGCAGCGCCATGACGCGCGCCGCCCGCTCGACAAACTCCTGCGGCTCCTGCGCGGTGCGCATGCCGGCGTAGTCCCGCTCGTACGCCTGGCGAGTTTGGGCGGGCGTGGCGGGCCGGGGAGGGGAGGGGGGCGGCGGGGCAGCACACTGAGTTGCTCGCGAGGCCGCCCCGTCGCGGGCGGCGGCAAGGAGTCCGCGGCTCCGCATGTGACCACCTTATCGCCACCGCCGGCAGCCGAGCGCGTGTGTAGGCGGTAACGAATCAGGCGACTGGCGTGGGCGGTGGCGGCCTGGCGCTCACCTTGAGCACTGTGAGTGCTGCGCCGCCCTGCAGGCCCGCCTGCATCAGCTTGCCCAGCAGGTCGGTGCGCTGCTGCACATCCAGGGGGGGCAGCTGCGGGCCTGCTGGATTTGAAGGAAGCGTTGGTGCGGGTGGGGGG